TTCCATCATAGTATACATATAGTTTGTGATTTCCTTCTGGTACAATTTCAGCTGTGAAGAAAAAGTTATATTTTTATATTAAACTTCATGGAAAGGTGGCTGTGATTTCCTTGCTTCTGTAGATGGTAGAAAAATCTCTCTTTCATATGATGTGCCATTCAAATACCAGTGCGTTGGGGATTTTTAACTAAGTTTTATTGCAGGATTACTGCAGCATTAAAAGTGGTAAAGGTATGAAGAGCGACATGTTTGACAGTATTTGCACCATCTGGGGTCACGTGACTCAACATCTGCAGCTTGTTCGTTGTTGATCTTTTTCTTTGTCTTTTCGGTCAGGGAAACTTTAATTAGACTTTACTTTGTAGTTTTTCGCTTAATAATTATTTATTATCATCTCTCAGCCTCCTCCTCCTTCAGCGCCACTGCAGGAGGCCGGTATCACACACGACCCGCTCGGAGCCACTCAGACGCTGGACCCGACTCTGCTGGCTTCAGCGGAGACTCCCACTTCAAAAGAGGAATCCACAGAGCTGCCTTTACTTGATCAACTCCGCTGACTTTTGCACTGGCGACATTTTCTACGACGAAAGCACACCGTGGGACCCAATCTGCCCCAAACTGACCAGACGCATTCCAGCCGCTTCAGGACTCATTCCATCGATCCCCGCCTGAATCTGGGAGCAAAAACATCCCGCTGCAGCCGGAGCGGCTCAGCGCGCAGCAAACCGCGGAGTGAATTTAGCCAACTTCACAAGTCTGGTTTCATCGTGAGATCTGAGCATCTACCTTTTTATTTTTTTATTTTATTTTTTTGTCTCTATGGACAACCTTTGGGTTGTAACAGAAGTGACAGGCCAAAAAGGCCAGTGCAATTAAAAGGGATATTTTACTTCAGGAGTGCTTATTTTTCTATACCAGAGAAAAGAATCAAGCGTCTGACTGTCTTTTACTCGACAGATGCAGTGACATGTTTCTTTTTCATCGATTTAAAAAAAAAAAGAGAGAGATCAGTAGGTTACTGTACCTGACGTGTGGAAACCATGAAAAGCCTTGTTTTGTTTTCCCCCGTTACCGCATCCTGACTAAACCTGCGGCTGATCGTCGATATCTGACGGAGCGTATTGACAAACTTCAGGAGCCTCCGCGGTGCCTCTCTCCACCGCACGCCACGAGGAAACAGAAATAACACCCAGTCCTCTGAGGAGCACGGCCAGATCAGCAGTTAACAAAAACATCCTGCCTCACCCAGACCGACAGGCGGTGCGCCAAAGGCTAGTTTACAAATTATTTAGGCCTGTAAGAAGTCCTGAATTGAAAGGTGGAGATGTGGAATGGGCCAAACGGAGGCTCCTCTGTCTGAAAAGCATGGGGCTTAAAGACCCATGAACCGGGGGTTGGAAATGTCAAACCTTTTTGTTTCAGTGGGTTGAATGTCCTTTCTTTATTTCTTTTGTTTTTTCTTACTTGAAGAATCCCAAGTTCCTCAGTGATTAAAAACACACTGAGTTTGCTTTTTGTTTGATAAACGATCAATAAAAGCCTGACTGGTTTGATCCAGCCGGCTGTCGGCTCTCCAGATAGCAGGGATTCATGCTGCTCAGTGTGGGGAGCAGCGTGTCCTCTCCCATTACTGTACTACTGCTTCTGCGTCCCCTGCTACTAATGTACCACTACTACTGCTGTTTCCTCCGCTGTTAAATCCAGCGTTTTAGTTGGATCGTCACATCGCGGAATAAATGGTAAAAGCAAAGGCGAAATATTTATTTGATTAACGTTGTCTTACTGATTATCTTTTATGGGCTGTGTATGTGGTGTGCTGACATTTGCCTTCTGTCAATTGCATCTCTATCAGTTTGTCTAAAAATGCATCATCAATACCAAGAGTTTTGTTTAAAGGGATAGTTTGCATATTTGAATTGGGATTTTGGAAGCACTTTTGACCAGTATGTATTTTATTTTGAGACTAATCAGAGTTTTCAACTCGCTTGTCAATATTAGATCTGCTCATAAAATATTTTTTCTAGCCTCTCTGACTTCAGTGGTCAATAATTGTTCATATCAAGATTAAAGACAACATTACAGTATTTTTATTTATTTAAAATGGGAGCAAAATGATTACTGGGTTAACAATTTAAACTGGCTTTAGCATCTAATGTAGCAAAAACCAGTTAGCCCAGTCTGTGTGTACATTCTAGAGAAAATAATCTTTCACACTTAGATTTCTACAACGCTGCTTATATTTTCAGACCCAATATGTATTTAAGATAAATTTGCAATCATACATTCAGTCTTCCTGTTATCCCTTTAAGTATTGCTCTCTCTCGCTTTTCCGCAGACCGAGAGAATAAATCGTCATGCATCAACATATCGCAGCTTCTTGCATCTCTGCACTTAATTTCTCATTTCTTATTCATTTTTAGTCATTTTCACTCAGTTACCACCTCAACACTGAAGAGTGTAGTTGTTGAGCTTTGATCATGATCGAGAATCATCCGGTTCCAGTCACCCTTTTTTTGTGCATCTCCAACTTCTTTAAGTTATATCGGATCATTCCTCTGAGTATTAAGGAGGTTTTGATAAAGAAACCAAACTTGGAAAGTATCTAAAGAAACTAATAAGTCTCATTTTAAAGCTGATCACGAGCATTCTTTTTTTTTTTTTTCTTTTAAACTGGATCATTGTTCAAAAAGTGATGTAAATTACTCTCTCAAAGTTTGTGAAACATGTTGGGACTGAAATCAAGTTTATCTGCTGGTGTTTTCATGTTGAGCGTCTGTTACCATCCTCATTACAGAGGAGAGTTTAATCTACTGTCCATCAGTGCTTCACACAAAACCATTTCCAAATAAACAAATTGTCTCTTTAAGTCTGTAGCATGACTGGAAATATTCCTGAGAACTCAAATTTACCTTTTCTCCTTTCCACTTTTTATTTTTATTTTTTTATTTCTTTACTCTTTTACCGCTGTGAAAATCTGCAAGTTGTAATGGGTTGCAGGTGAACATGAAACAAAACAAAGAAACTGGCAGCCCGTTCAGCCGTTCCCCTCCCCGCCGCAGCGCCCAGCTGTCAGCTCTGCAGTCTTCATAACTTTGTGCCATAGCATTAATTGCCAGATCCTGGTTTGCTCACAAATTAATTTCTCTATGATGTTTTTTTTTTTTTCCTCTGTGGGAAACTTGAAAGAAGACAAGCATTCTCAGGATTTAACATTTTGGGGAGAGGAAAGAAAATCAAGAGGGATTTAAGATCTTTTTTTTAATTATCATTTGAGTCGTGTGGCTTGAATTAGGCTCTGGTTGAAAAATGGATATTGGAGGCAAATTTGACACTTAGAATCGTTTCTCTTTAAATGAAGGTCACTTAATGTGTGGGTTGGAAAATGGGTCACAGTGGTGTTACAATTCTTCATGGCGTTTGAGATATCACTGTTGTCTTTGCTCCACTTTAAGCTCCTTATAGATTTTTTTTTAATCTTTTGAGCAGCCCTGAGAATTTTTGTAAAATTGCTGCGAGGAACCTTGTACAGCTTCTCTCCCAGGACTTGGTAACAACACCCTCAACTCAGGAAATACAGACTTGTCGATCAGTGCTGGGGTTTTTTTTTTTTTTTTTTTTTTTTTGATAATTAGCATCCAAAGCAACGGGAAATGTTTCTGTTTTTTCTTTTTTTTTTTTCTTTGTTGGGAGACGGGAAAGCACAAGCTAACAGGCAGACCTGGGTGTCCAAAAGAGATTTCTGAATCTCTAGATCTATGTACAGCACGTTTGCTATATAAATATATATTTAAAATATAAATTATTTTATTATTGGGTTTTTTGGTTTTTCTTCATCAAATACACTATGTGCAGAAGGGTGAGACTCTGGATTTGACTCAAGCTGAAGAGCTGAAATGTGCAGTTTGGGAAGAATCACTTATTACTTCTTTTGCACAAGATTTCATCGTCCATCATCCCAGTTTTTGATTTTAGACATTTTAGGGAAGGTGGTCTTTTATTTAAGAACTTTAAGTCAATGTTCTGTACAGTTTTTTTTATGGTTTTTTTTTTTCTTGTATTTAAATTAAAGTTTTTGTCTTTCTTTGCAAACTTGTGGTGGAGAGATTGAATTTTATTTTTTGTGAGGTGCCGTTTTAATCTTTGATACCTTGACTTTTTATCAGTTTAGATTTGTTATGGATTGGAAATGTGTTACCTTTTAACTGTATTGGCACCATTTGATCTTCAAAATCAAGTTTGTTTCGTTATCAGACGGACTAACAAAGAATCAAGTATTTGTGAAGGGGAAAGAAGCTTGAAATGAAAAATTGTTTTTCATTTAAACCGTTTTTAGTGGCCTTTGCTGTGTATTTAGGTTTGAAAAAATATTAATAGTTTAACAAACAGATAATGGAAAAAACTGATCCTGAAACTGAATATAAATTAAATGCCAGTTTAAAAAACTTTTTATACAAAAATTAGATGAAATTAAAGTGATGTGATGAGGCCTTCCATTTATAAACATTCTGCTACAACTGCATTAGGAGATGCTAATTTAGTGAAAACTGATGCTGTCGAGTCCAGAGGCGATGAAAGCATGAACACTAAATGCTTTCAAGTTCTTTCGACTGAAGAAAATGTTTGATCTTAAGGGAGAAATACATTTTTTGCAAATTTATCCAAAAATAGCCTGATAAAATTCTCAAAAAAACATGCTGCAAAAAACGTACATGAGATTCAATAGATAGAGGAATAAAACATTCGACTGAAACCCTGCACTTATAAAGAACATGAGACGAAGATCCACGATTGCTTCTACCGGCAGGCAGAAGAAACAAAAAACGTGATTGTTGAAAAAAAATGAAACATTTTTCTTTTAAAAATTCTTGAAAAGGGAAACCCTGAAGGAGAAATGCAGCTCAATATGTTTTAATGACGATTATATGTGGTTATAATCATTTAGTTTTGAAGGCAAATGGGGTCAGAGGGCAGACTCAGACTAAAAGAATAAACTATCAGAACTTGGGTATTATTTTATTTCACAATATGTCTGGCAGTACAGCGGTGAGAAGAGCAGAAGCAAAGCTGAATAAGTCCTTCATTTTAGTACCTGATGCTGGGACTTCAGACAAAGGAGCGCTTCATCAGGGACGGAGTGTAGCGTATCTCGTTGTAACACTCCTCTTCCTCTGCCTTCCTGTCCCTCCTCCTGCTTCTCCTCCTGCTGCTCCTCCTGCTCCTCCCGTCCTGCCCCGTGCGATGCAGCCACAGGATGATGACCAGCAGAGCCAGCAGCAACAAAGCCATCACCAGAGTGAGCAGCACGCCTGGCAGGACGCCTGAGGGTCCGCCTGGAGCCGCTGCGGTGCACAAAACAGCCCGGATCAGAACGACTCCAGCAAACCAAAAGAGGCGTGGCGGCGGTGAAACGGACCCTCACTGTTGTAAATGGCCAAGTTGATGTAGCAGTTTTCTGTTCCCAGGATGTTAGTGGCCGAGCAGCGATACAAGCCGGACGTCTGAGAGGACACGTTGACAATCTGGACTGAGCCTGACAGCTCACCTGAGAGACAAGAGACGCAGTGAAGACACTGAAAAGAGGACAGGAATTACAATAATGCCAACATGTTTTAATGTGGAAATAGACTGAAAACTTAGTCTAATGAAAGAGTTGTGTGGCTTGGAGTCTCACAGAGGAACAGTTTCTTCTTTTATACAAACAGCCTCATCAGAATAGTTTCACTGGTTTCAAGTGAACTGACAATCCAAGATTGGTTTTGTGTGGTGTGGATTTTTTTTTCTTACCACAAGAGTAGGATACTGACCCTCCATGTTGACTGGAAGTGAAATTTGCTCGGGGTTCACTTTCTCCCAGCGGATTTCTGGAGTGGGGACGCCTTCTTCCACGGAGCAGGACAGCCTCACGCTTCCGCCCACGTCAATCACTCCGTCCCACTCGCACACAGGCAGGGAAGGTGGCTCTGCAAGCATCATCCCACAGGTTCAAAGTAACTATACTGGGTTATGCATTCAAACTGCACCATCAAGTCTGACTTCAAGAAATGCAAACATGAAGGTTTGGAAGTGGCATAGTTAAAGTCTGAACTAGAATCCAAGTGAGAGGTTGAAGCCTGACAGGAAGCTCTGGCTTGAAAGCCATCTAACGTGTTTGAGTTAAAAAAGATTTTGTTGCATGATTCTGTAAAATTAAATAAATAAATTATTGGGTTTTGGGGGCAGTTTGAATTTCACACAAGGCCAGGCTTCTTTTCCCATTAATAAATGAAAGTCACTTAAATTTTCTATTTTGTGTTCAGTTAGATTATCTTTCTTTAATATTTAAATTACTGCAATTTAAATATTAAATTAGACAAATAGTCCAATTAAATAGTCCTTTAAATATGACCAAAAGGCACAAATCTGCAGTTTTTTTCCACAAATGAAAATTTCCTCGATAAACAGGTGGAACATTGTATATTCATACAAATTACATTAAAGACAATAAATAAATGACTTTTCATCAGATTGAACAGGCAGCGGCTGAGACACCTACCCAGCACGCGGAGCTGCAGCTCCCCCACGCCGGGGTCCGCCGTGTCCGGCGGGTTGTTGACCATGCAGCGGTAAATCCCGCCGTCCGAGACTCGAGTTTCATTCAGCATAATGTCCGCACTGAATGGAAGACCTGCAGGTTGTTTACATGGAAGGATAACAATTCATCTTCGTCTTTAGCGTGCAGCTAAAATGCGTAGAAGGAGAAAAAGGAGCTGGTTTCACGTGTACCTGTAAAATCCACCCGGCCAATCAGGGAGGGGTTCTTGATCACCTGACCGTGGTCGTACACGATCACCTGAAACGGGAGGAATTTCAGAAAAGCATCTTCTTTATTGTAACCACAGCTGGCCTCGTTTCTCTGTGTTTCTTATACATTTCCTCTCAAATGTTCTCTAGATTTGATCACATCAGCTGGAAACCAGTGGAAACCCACATCTCATTTTCATTTCTCATAAATTCAGCTTTTCTAAAGGAGTGAATTGAGCTGAATTTGAATATTGGTGACAAATGGAGAGAATGTGTAAAAAGGCAGGACCAGAAAATTAATTTTCAGGGTTAGGTGGCAGAAAAAAATATCACCATTGCATAGGTAAAGCAAGATGGTGGCTGCATCATGCTGTGGGGGAAAATTGACTTTTACATAAAATCTCTTTAACATACCTTGACGTTTGTGCTTGTGTCAAAATCTGACAGTAGCCGAGGGATATGAATGCTTTTGTCAGGCCGTGTGCGTTTTGATGTTACACATTGAAGATGCCAACCTGCACTGGGCTCCCTGGGCTGGAGAACGGAGCCAGAGTCCAGATCACATTAAGTCTGGAGAAGTCAGAGGAGGTGAAAAAGGAGCAGGGCAGGAGGATGGAGTCACCTTGAACTGCCTCCAGACTGGATTCCCTCATGGTTACCCTGAGAGCAGCTGGAACAGGACAAATCACACAAACTTGAAAGACGGCGACTTATTTCCACGTTTCCATCCTTTTACAGTCTCGTCGGTTTGCTTTGAACTTCTCCACTTCTCCCGTTGAGACCAGTCGCCTCCCCCCCACACTTTTCACTTCATTACTGCGATAATGAACCCTCTCTGTCGTCCCCGGGCCTTTTGTGTGAGCGATATGGGGAGGGTAACTCGGTGTGCGTATCAGCTGTTAATTACACTTGACAGTTTTGATGGTGAGCCAAACTAATCACAGGCAAAGTGGAACAACAGGCCACTTCACTGTGAAAACAGAACGCCGATTCACAGCATTGTTTTTGAAAAATAGATCACTGGACTTTAAAAATGTCGCCCACAGAGAAGTCTCTGTCAATTTGCAGCTTCATTTGCTTTTGAAATCTTATAAGAACAAGACTGATGCAAATGCAAAACATTCTGTGCAAATTGTTTAATTTCTGCCCAGAGAAACTGATTAAATTAAGTTCTAATCATAACAAAATGATATCTTGGTATCCTGTGTCATTTAAAAAAAAGTAAAACTGTCTAAAATATAACAAATAGCTACTGCAGCTTATCTGTCTACAGCCTTCAGAAGTAACATTTGTTATGTTTGTGTCAAAGCAACAAACAGGCCGACTCACCGATCTGCAAAGCTGTAAAACACACAAACAAAGTCCAGAGAGTCCACCTTACAGGAGAAGCCATGATGGACAGGAAGGCAGAGCTTCCTCACTGCCCACAAACTAGTGGCACAAATTAGGACAACAAATGAGCATGCATGACTAATCAGCTGAGCGACGCCACCGACCCCTCCTCCCTTTGTCCTCTCTCCTCTTCCCCTCTCTGACTGCAAATAAACCTGCAATGGAGTTGTCAGGTGAACAACTAAGGAGTTGTCACAATTAACCGCTTCAACCCCAACGAACCGCAGCTGTTCCTTTGAGAATCACCCCAGCAGGAATTCATTCACTGCTCCACGTCGAGTGATTTTGTAGAGCTACAGTGAGAAGGTCTGCCACCGTCAGCGGCTTAGACACAGGAGCAGCTCTGGAATGTTTTCACATATAAAATGAACAAAATAAACAACAAAGGGACAATGATGATTTACATGGTGAGACAAAGACTCCAGATCAGTCCAAATTCTGCAAGACATGACCAAAAAAGGCTTCTGCAGTTTTGCAAATGAATGCAATTGAATATTCTCAACAGATGCTTTAGAGATTAAAACTATTCAACTCCATTGATGGTCGAGAAAAGAAAAGGACTTTACATTCGGACCAGGTTCTTTGCATATCAAGGAAACCCTGAATGGAAATAAAAGTCTGTTGTGGATTACGACACACTGCTAATATTGCTTATTTGCAAATTTACAAAAAGTGCAGCACTCCAGTGCTTCACCTTCGTTTCCTGAAGCCAATTTAATTAAGTGGGATGGACAATTAATCAAGACAGAGTTCAGTCAGTAATAAATAAAATCAGCATTTTAAAATCTGGATTTTTGTATTTTCTCAGATTATCTACAACAATTAAGTTGTAAAATGAAATTATTATTGCACAATGCTGTATGAAGCAGGCTGATATTGGAAACTGGACATTTCCAAAAGTTCAAAATCTCAGTTTTTAAACTTTTCAAAGTCAGAAATGTCCAATATTATATATATATATATATATATATATATATATATATATATATATATATATATATATATATATATATATAGTAATTGGAATTTCTATTTTCATGTAAATCTTACAACTTTGAACGAAAATCATAAATATGTTGTCCATTTATGATGAGTTGAATATTCTAGGAGTAAATAGAACATACTTCGATGCCAGAAACCTTAAGGATAAAGAGTTTTTACATAATTATATTGAGAATGTTAAAGACCAGCTTCAGAATCAAATGAAAATAAATCTGACTTAAATCTCCATAATCTACCTTATTACATAAAACTAAGTGCTGTTAACTTTAAGGTTTTCAACTGCAACATTCAGATTTTGTTGAACAAAAATAAATATTTTTCTCTCTGTTGAGAAACAAATTTAGATCCATCTGAAAAAAAATCAAATGAAACAGTGTCTTTAACTTTTGTGCATTAGTCGTGTACGGATTCAAGGCAGCGAAAGATCTGAGGCTGTCAGCGGCGTGAAGAAATATTCAAAGACAAGTTCCCGACACCGCCACGATGAGGAGATCCTCGGGTTCTGACCTGTGGGCTAAACAAATCGCAGTCAGAGCAGATCCTTTTGATGGATTTACATAAAATCTGTTTGTGACTCACATTTTGATCTGCCGCAAAGTTTCCCTGTGATCATCCAAAATGTTAAGCCCACAACAAAACGTCGCGAGTGAGCCTCACAGTGATGCCACGAGGGGGAAAGTTAAAGCCAGTCAGCGTGTCAGGATTAATAAGCCTCATATATAGCACCATTAATTAATCAGCTTCATGCATGCGGGAATGCTGAGTACCAGCATACGGCTGCACCTGTCTGTGCTTCACTGAGTTTACTGTGAAGAGGAGGAAAGCTGAGCTCCAAACAGTCAGACTCTGGGAGGTACAGTAGAGCAACATGTGCCCTTTTCAGCTTTTCTGACTTGACCTTTGAGTTACGCTCTCGTCTCTGATAGCAGCCATTATACTTTCTCTCTCGGTTTGTTTGGACGTCTTCCGACATCACCGTGTTGCGATGGTGATAAAAGAAAGGCAGTTTCTTAGTCGCTGCCTGGTTGTCTTCATGGCGTCTATGAAAGCAAAAAGATTGTTGTCGTCTGTCCTGAAGACATCCGTTTAGTTTTTAAGGTTACCAACGTTTGACAACTGTTACCTCAGCTGCCTGCACTTAAAGGACGTCCTCCCATTCTGAGTCCACTTAACGTGATGTGGGGGAATCTTTTAGAGACAACAGCTTTCAGTTCTTCTGGGAAGAACTGAAAGAACTGAAACTGACAAACAGGACCAGTCCAGTTTGTCCACAGGACCAGTCCAGTTTGTCCACAGGACCAGTCCAGTTTGTCCACAGCAATCTCACTTATCAATGTCTTTATAGTCCTGGTTTGTGCATTCAGACCCAGTTATGTTCAAACAAACAGGGTTGTCCACTAACTTTCCACAAGGTCCAAAGTACCTTAAAGTAACAAGTTTCTTTCACTGGAACTAAAGTTTGGAGATCTGCAGCCATAAACTCTGTTGTTGTTATAATACCAATGACAGCTGAGTGTGGAATATTTCGTAGGAAGGAAACCAATTGTTGTTCAACAATTGGTTGTTCAACAACCAATTGTTGAACAATTGTGTTCAACAATTGGAGAACCCGATCAATGATAAACCAATACTGTTGGAGATAGTGTATTTACTTTGTCACCTAACTGAGACAGTATCTGAAATGTCTTATTGACCAAACATGGCAACAGAGCAGGATGTGAAATAAAAATGTGGAGATTTTCAGCATTTAAAGCAACCAGTGCTTACTAAGGCTCAGCTCTACCATGAACAACATGAACCCCAGTACTATTGTTCAGTTTTTTTTTTACCATTGTCTGTTAGCATAAAAAACTGTAAGAAAGAAGTACTGAAATGGTAAAACACACCTGTCTAGTCACTGGAGTTACTCTATTCTCTAGGTTAGATGTTATTACTTCAGACACACGTGAAGCTTTGTAGTAAATAACTGTTGTTTGATGGCAGCTTTCCACACTGTTGGCACTCTCTTCACTCAGCTTCATGAGTCAAGTCACCTGAAACGGTTTTTAAGTACCAACTGTGCCTTTAAGAGGTTTTTCTTTATATGGCTCACATTTCCTACGGTCACTATTGAAAGGGGAGGCACACAAGCACCAGATAGAAAAAGATAAAATGAAATGGTCTTCTATAACTAAGTTTCTTTTCATAGTAGTAGGAAGTTGCCACCTTACTTTCCTTCACATCCACGCCATGCAACACTGATACATAAAGCAGCACACACTAAGTATTGAATGCAAAAGCATATTCATGTTTTCATTTTCTGAGACTGTATTTTGTTTGCCATGACCTATAACCTATAATTAGAGGTCATAACCTATATTTGTCAAAATTACAACTGAACAATTGTTGAAATGTATGACTTTGTCTTGAAATAAATTAACTTTTTAATAACCCTTTAAATTAACCTGTGACCAGACATACAAAATGATGACTTCATCGTTGTGAGCTAAATCAAAAGAGTCTGTGCAGAAGGTCATAATCTCCCAATTTATTTACTGTTATGAACAACATCCAGCACCGGGTTTGTGCGTTTAACTGCAAGAACAACAAAATGTTGAGAAACCAAAACGGATAGAAGAACAATTGGTGAAACCGTTCTACGTCTCTGATCCCTCAGAACTGGAGGAGCTTCTCGTTTCTACGGTGAGGTCTTTAAGGAGTTTGGTTACTTTAACCAAACAGTTCAACACCATATACATAAATATACAACACTGTGTTTCCACAGTGATTTTTATGATACACACACCGTAGTTTTAACCCACAGAAAGCGCATAAAGAATTCCAACTGTATGTGTATGGCCACTGAATGAAGAAGTGTGTGTGTAAATTTGCACCATTTATCTGTCAATTTCATTTTATATTTTTAAATACACACACCTACTGGTTTCACGGTCAATATGTTAAGAGGATAGACATGTAACAACTTGATTTTGTGAAATATTCTCTTATTTTAATGACAAAGTTTTTTTCTAGGATTCCTGAAGCCTAAATCCGGTCTCTCATAGGATGGGGCCAAAATAAATAAAAATAGCGAAAGAGAGTGACAGGAAGGAAAGCTAAGAGACAGTGAGACGGACAGACAGGAAATCGGAGTGAGTTCTGCCTCTTTCCCCGTCAGGCTAAGTGGGAGTGACCTTATGGCAGGCCAGCCAGTCGCACGAAGCTCCGGGCCAATCAGATCTCCTCAGTGTGAGCTCTGTGCCCGCTGCTGCCGCTCAGTGGCGGTTCAGTCTGATCACAACAGCATGGTGATCGGTTTCTCCAGGAGCTTCCTGAACTCTGCGAGCCACTGTGCTCCGACTGCTCCGTCCACCACCCGGTGGTCGCAGCTCAGCGTTACCGACATCACGCTGGATACGTCGAACCTGCGAAACAGCCAGGGTGCCTGGGGTTAGCTTTGCATTCATAGCATTTTGTTCGTTTTATCAAAACAGCTGTTGCCATGACACTCACCCCTTTTCGTTGTCAGCGGGCATCAGACGTTTCTCGGAGCCCCCCACAGCAAGAATGCAGGCCTGAGGCGGGTTGATGATCGCCGAGAAGTTCTTGACACCGAACATCCCCAAGTTGGAGATTGTGAATGTTCCTCCCTGAAAGAAGTAACATTAATAAGTGTTAGTTAATGAATGAATGATATGATCACATCATGAGATCCACATCAGGATGCTGGCGTGAGGCTGCGTTTGGCTTGGCGAGAGCCGCCACATCGGAGCTGATGGCGGCGAGGCCTTTGATGTGGGCGTTGAAAACGATGGGCGTGATGAGACCGCTGGCTGTGCTCACCGCCACACTCACATCCACCACGTGATTCCTGGGGAAAAGCAGTCAATAGTGATGTAATCGATGTGTTTCTGAGCCAGAAAAGCATCAGAGTGCCCTCTGCTGGCTCAAATATGAAGCTGCAAATTCTAACTTGCTTATAGATTTGTTTAGAGTGAGGAGTTTAGTGGATAAAACATTTATTTGGAAATGCATGCACAGTCACTAAGGGATTTGTTATATGGATGTCATCAATTCTGCATTCTATTGAAATTATTTCAGCAATGTTAGCTGTGCTAATCTCTAATATAAGAGGTTTAGGAATGTTTAAAATCTTCAACTTTTAGCATCGGAACAGAAAAATCCTGTTCAAGTACAAATGATTTAATTCTTACAACAGTAAAGAAAGAAAACTTATATTACGCTTCTTAAAGAAAATACCTAAATGATCCAAAAGTGGAACTTAAAAAAAAAAAGAAAAAGGTACAATTTAG